AAAGTGAGGGACCAGTTAACAAGGTTTTTACAATATTTAGTTTTAAGGTAGAGAGGGAATGGAAAGCAGGGGAGGAAAGGGAGCATCGTGACAGATCCAAAATCTGAATGACTAGGCAACTTGGATGTGGGGAATAATAGAGGCCAAAGGTGACCAGAGGATTTTTACTACAAGAGTGCTGTCATTAACAAAAACAGAGAAGGCAGGACTTGGACTGGTTTGATGGGAAGATAACTTTTATTTTTATGTCCAGGTAGAAAATGCTTGGAAGACTTGTAGATGGAGCAGTTTAACAAACAAGTGTAAACAAAGGCTAGGAGATCAAAAGAAGGCTTGGAACTGGAGACACATTTGAAATCTGCTTGGCGTTAGTAATGGAAGGTATGGGAGCAGGAGGATTTATTAATTCTGTTTTGCTGGTGAGTAGGAGGTACTTGATGGACACATTAAAAAATTTTTTTTTATTGTTTATTTATTTTTGAGAGAGAAAGAGAGAGAGAGAGAGGGAATGAGTGGGAGAGGGGCAAAGGAAGAGGGAGACACAGAATCCGAAGCAGGCTCCGGGCTCTAAGCTGTCAGCACAGAGCTCGATGCAGGGCTTCAACTCACAAATTTTGAGATCACGACCTGAGCTGAAGTCGGATGCTTAACCAACTGAGCCGCCCAGATGCCCCTTGATGGACACATTTTATTGCTGATGTTGAAAAAGAAAGCAGAATTGTCTAGACAACCAACATTTAGAAGGAAGAAGAGTTGATGGAGGAACCAGAGAATGACTGGGAAGAGGAAAAAACCCAGGATTTTGCAGGGTCTTGGTGCTCTAAGGCAGAAAAGTCAAGCAGGACAAGGTGGTACACTGTGGGCTAAACTAATCTTTAGTGTTGGCTAGTGGGTAATCCTTAACATGTAAGCTCCATGATGGTAGATGTTTTTGTTTGCTAGAAGATTGTCTGTCACATTGTGCTCAAAAATTATTCAACAAATTAATTCTTGAGATTTCAGACATTTTCAGAAGACTTCTGGAGGTAGAAGCCAAATCTAAAGGAACAAATAGAATTGCCACTTTCCCAGAAGAAACCCCATTCTTGTCCATTTTCTATAGGTAGTCAGGGTGACCTTTTAAGTGTGTGTGTGTGTGTAAGTAGGCTCTATGCTCAACATGGGGTTTGAACTCACAATTTTGAGATCAAGAGTTGCATGTGCTATGGACTGAGCCAGTTAGGCACCCCAGAGTGACCTTTTAAAAAATAAATCATGGCATGCCACTTTCCTGCTTAAAGATGGCTTCTTGCTGAATTTAGGATTAAACCAAACCAACCCAACCCAAACCAATACAAACCACACTGCCTGAGCTGGCCATCCCTGTGCAGCCTGGCTTATATTTTCAACTGAACCATAGGCCACTTTCCCTCTCATATACTACCCTCCAGTCACCAACTTGAACCTGAAGTTCTTACCTGTCCCTTTAATGCCTTGACCATGCCCATCTTGTCCCTGTATTAGGGCACTTGCATGTAATTCCCTTTGGCTAGTATATGCTGGCCCAGCTTTTTTTTTTGTCCCAGCTTTTTACTTGTTAACTTGCTTCTCATTCTTTAGGTCTGTTCACATGTTATCACTTCTCCCAGAGATCATTCCTGAGTACTTGGTTTAAAGTAGTCCTTGCCTTGGGGCGCCTGGGTGGCACAGTCGGTTAAGCGTCCGACTTCAGCCAGGTCACGATCTCGCGGTCCGTGAGTTCGAGCCCCGCGTCAGGCTCTGGGCCGATGGCTCGGAGCCTGTAGCCTGTTTCCGATTCTGTGTCTCCCTCTCTCTCTGCCCCTCCCCCGTTCATGCTCTGTCTCTCTCTGTCCCAAAAATAAATAAAAACGTTGAGAAAAAAAAAATTAAAAAAATAAATAAATAAAGTAGTCCTTGCCTCAAGCCCCACTCCCCTCACACGACCTTGTTTTCTTTCTTTCCTAGGACTTCCTAGTCTGGAACATCTTGTTTATTTATGTGTTTACTGACAGTCTCCTCCCATTAGAAAATAAGGAGGGAGAAAATGCAAATGGCAGAGGGAACAACCGATGAATAAAAGCTCAGGAGAAGCAAAAGGAGATGCGATCAAGAGTTCCAAGGGAGGAATGAAGAACTCTTGCTTCCTCTAAAACAAGAGCGAGGAAAGTAGACAAGAGCAGACACATTAGGGAATCTGAGGTGTAATGCATTAGGCAACCTGAAGAGTTCTTTTCCCATCAGCCTTTAATTACATGGTTAAAATGGTTGTAGGAATAGCAGCAAATTACTTGATTTTACCTTGTCAGCTGGTTCTGTAAAATATGCTGTGAATACGGGGGTGGAGAGCATCCTTTTCTAGATTCTTTTTTTCTTAGGTCTACTGAGCTTAGCAAGAGAATCACTAGCCCATGTCTTATACGTAAAAAGGTCTTCACAGACATTGTTGCTTTTATTGTACTGTGTGCATAATTCTAAAGGAGGTACACGCTGCCTGAAGCACCAGGAAGCAACATTTGGGTGGATGCCCGAGATGCCCCCAGTGGGGCTTCAGCATTCTTTCTGAGACACAATGGACTGAGATTTATAATGCAGGTGTTTTTTTGGTTTGTTTTCTGGGGGCTTAGAAATAATAAAGCATTACATTCACACAACCTTGCTGTGAAAGGTTACAGTAATGTTATTATAACCTCATTTTCTGTTGAAAGGGGGAAATGAGATTTGCTCCAGACTAAACAAGAAGTCAGTAATAAAAAATTACAGTCCCTCGGGTGCCTGGATGGCTCAGTCAGTTGAGTGTCAGATTCTTGATTTCGGTTTGGTGGTCCGTGAGTTTGAGCCCCACATCAGGCTCTGCACTGACTGGTGCTTGGAGCCTGCTTTGAATTCTCAGTCTCTCTTTCTGTCTGCCCCTCCCCCGCTCGTTCTCTCTCTCTCTCTCTCTCTCTCTCTCTCTCTCTCTCAAAAATAAATAAACATTAAAAAAAATTACAGTCACTGGCTAATCCAGGCTTTCTGACTTGTGCACGCGTTACATCCTTCACACACTCCAAGGCTTACGATGACAACTACCAGCAACACTATTGGCATTTTCAAGTCTTTGCCTTCACTCCCATCCTAGTATAGACAACCACACTATGCGTGCATTGCATGTCATGGTATATGAAAGGCAGATGAGGAAAATATTAAATATGAGTATTAATAACTACCACTTCTCAGTGTTTGGGATTAAAGGTTTCCTTTGCACTGCTGGGAGGTGCTGGGGAGGCTGTGGGAAGGGGACAGGTTGGCAGTGGGTGGGAAGCTGCAGAGAAGCCTAGGGTCTGTCTAGAACACATAGGCCCTTATGGACCTTCCCCCTTTTAATAAGTCCCTTCCCTATTTTATTTTATTTTATTTTATTAAAATATGTATATTTTTAAGTAATCGTTACACCCAACATGGGGCTGGAACTCACAACCCTGAGATCAATGGTTGCATATTCTACTGACTGAGCCAGACAAGCCCCCTCCTACCCTATTTTGAAAGAAAGACTCCTGGGGCACCTCGGTGGTTCATTCAGTTAAGTGACAAACTCTTGATTTTGGCTCAGGTCAGGATCTCACAGTTCATGAGATCAGACCCCATGTCGGGCTCTGTGCTGGCCGAGCCTGCTTGGAATTCTTCCTCTCCCTCTCTCTCTGCCCTTCCCCAGCTTCTCTCGAAAGAAAGAAAGAAAGAAAGAAAGAAAGAAAGAAAGAAAGAAAGAAAGAGAAAGAAAGAGAGAGAAAGAAAGAAAAAAAAAACTTTCAAAAGACTCCTGTGATAACTTCTCCCATCTCCAACCAACTCAGGCTAGAGGGAAAATCAAATAAGCCTCAAGCCAGCTTTGATTACAGCCTGTTAAATGCAAGTATGCATCAGTCACTCTGTAGTCACACAAATATGCACAAGATTCAGAACATGTGTACATAAATTTACGCATCTAATATTTACATATTCCATAATATTAAACCTACATCGTACGCATGGTTATGCTTGTCATCGATGCATATCCGTATCTTTGTAGACTCACACGTTTCTATCACTGTGCTACTGTTTACATATGATAGTGCCCCAGAGTTGAAGATCCTGGGTTTGAATCCTGTTTCTGTCATTATTATATGGCTTGTATGAAGGGGAACCTTCTGACGAGAAGGTTTTTCACTGACAACGTTAGGTGTTCTAAACTGGGGGCAGTAATTGTTTACTGACACTTCAAACATGCTTTCACATTAGTCCATTTCCAGGCCCACCCAATGACTTCACATACGTTGTAAACACGTCTTTGGTCTGCACTGAAAAGAGAAGCCTTCTCTCAAAGTCTAAGTGAAGGGGAAAGGACGGAAAACAAGTTGGTCCTACAAGACTTTCGTCCTACAAGACTTTACTTTGAGCCCAGCACTGTGTAAAGTTCCTGAGTGCAGAAAAGTCAAAAAGTGAGTGCGGTATAACAAACATTCTCTTGGGCCACAAGCCTAGCAATCGGAGCACAGTACAATCAGTAACTTACGATTTGTAATGAGTCAGGCTGTACTAGGCCCACAGGAAACTTTCATAAAAGATAAACATCACTTGGGGCGCCTGGGAGGCTCAGTCGGTTAAGCGTCCAAGGTGCCGGTGACAGAGGCAACCTAACACTCCGCACACTACGGTCCCCGCCGCCCGGACGCCCCCGCCGCCTCTGGCCTGCGGAGCGCCCCGCGCAGGCGCACGCCGCCCCGCTCTAGGGGACGGGCCCCAGCTGCCATCTTGCCGCGCGCGGGAGCCACCGCCGCTCACCAGTCCGTAGAGCCAGAGTCGAGGTTGTCCAGCCCAGATCGCGTTCCCTTTCCATTGCCAGCCCTGCCCAACGGCCTGCCCAGCCCCTACTCCAGGCCATGAAGTGACCCATCGCCCGCTGCCCGACTCCTAGCATTGGTCCGCCCCGGTGCCCACCCCTGCGGAACGGAGCGCCCGGGCACCCGGTCTCCCCGCCGGCCGCGATGCCGAACGTGCAGCTGCCGCCCAAGGAGAGCAACCTTTTCAAGCGCATCTTGGTGAGTGGCCGAGGCCGCGCTTCCGACCTGGCCAGGCGCGGTGATCGGTCTGGAGGCGGCGTCGCCAACGCGAGCTGGGCTCGGCCCCGGCTCCGTTCTTTGTTTACCTCCGAACCTTCTCGACCCGACTCCCCGCCTCGGCCGGCCTCCCCCTGCCCCCGCGCGCTTCGTCTCGCTGCGTCTCTCGCTGCACCCCCGCCGCGCTCCGCAGTACCTTTGGGCCGGGACGCGTCGGCCGGGAGTGGCCCCCTTGGCCTCTGCGGCGCTCTGCGGCCAAACTCACGACCTCAGCCCTACCGATCCTCCCGTTTGTTTCTTTTCCCCTTGGCCAAGTGTGTTCGTTCACTGATTCGTGCTTAACCTATTGCACAGTGCACGCTGATACCTGCTAAAGAGGGGGCGATCCTCTGGTGCAGTGGGGCTCCGACTTATACCAGTTACGGGAAAACTAAATCCTAGGAGGCCAAGCCTCCCTTTTAGAAAGAGTTTTTGTTTTTGATGTGCCGTACTTACCCCCTTTGGAAGAGACCAAGTGACTTGAACTGCATTTCAAAGTCAAAAGTCGAACACAGCTCTTTGGTCTCTTTTAACTTATTCAGGCCCTGCATTGGCTAAGTCGCGCCGACTGGCCGATTTCACACTTGAGGGGAGCCTTTACTTTGTTTCCAAGCAGAAACCTGAATAGGACCCGGAAAGAGATGACTGCTGCCCAGACGGGAGAGCTTTCCGTGGGTTCTGTGCCAGTGTCCTTGGTGCCTTCAGTTGTTTCCCAGGGCCATTCTTCCAGGGAGGAGAGGCAACATGCCTTTGCCTTTCTCATTGTGCGCTGGAGACTGTAGATTTTAAACTGATATTGTAAATAGTGTCTTTTCTAGTGTATCATTTCATCTGAAAATGAGTGTTTAGATTTTAAGAGTGAATTTATTACTTAGAGCTTGTGTTACTTACATGACTTACATGGTAAGTAAGTTGTTGCTTACCTTTACTATAAATAAAATCCTACCTTTAGAATAGTTTTAAGCATTATCAAGGTAGGTTAGAAGGTAAGAACTCATATTAGCTGTTCTGTTTCAAGCCAATAGAATCTTCATGCTTCTTCAAAATGTTAAAAAGATACATAATAGATGGGATTAATATTTTAAGTCTTAATTTTACGTGGTACTTAGTGTTGAGCAAACAATGAGAGACAAGTGTAAAAACAAAAAATTCTAATTACAGTATTTTGGCAGATTGCTTCCTTGGGCCTTGTATATATTTTTTGTTAGTTTAGTTTTCATTTATTTCCATACCCTTATCACAGGATGGATTTTGGAGAAGTGAACTTTTTGACCCATTCAGGTTCATCTATAAGTTGTTAATTGGATTTAAGGACATTTGGCATTATACCTAAAAGATGACAACACTTATTTTCACTCTATATGGATATTTTCTTGTTCCAATCGTGTTATCAATAGATTATAAAAAAACAATTATATGATTTATTATACTCTAGTTACAAAAAGTTATAGCTGCTGAATTAACTTTATTCCTAAATAAATTGGGAAATGCTAAACATGTTCTTATCTGGGTCTGTAATATTTACTATAAGGTTACATGAATTTAGGAAGGTGCTGCAAAAGTGAATGATTTTATCATTTCACAGTTGCAATAAATGTGGGTATCATTTTGCTATACCAACTCCATGAACAGTCACAAAATTATTTTTCAAGTTTGGTTGGTGGACCAAAGTGATTTGCCAGTAAATTTTTAAAAATTAATTATGAATGTACTTGAACACATCTGTACAAATTTACCAGCTAGCTGATTACATGTTCTGCATGGCTTGTACATGCCTGTCTTATTCCCCAAACTGGCTATTGGCGTTATGTGTTGTTGAATTTTGGAGCTACTCCATGCATTCTTTTACGAATGAAACAAACCCAGGAATGGTAAGTGACTAAATGTCTAAGGTTCTCTGTCTGGTTAGTAGCAAAGTTGAAACCAGAATCTATCTTTTGTACTGAGTATATATTCCTTACCAAACTTAATGCTTTTCTTTAACCTGTGTATTTAGATACTAGAGACAGACTACCTGTTTTTTTGTTTGTTTTTTTAGAGCTTATTTAGAGAGAGAGAGAGAGAACCAGAGGGGGAGAGGTGGGGCGGGCGGGCAGAGGAGCTGAAGCAGGATCTGTGCTCCCAAGCAGAGAACCTGATGTGGAGCTCTAACTTATGAACCGGGAGATCATGACCTGAAGTAGTAAGTCATCCAAGTTCGATGCTTAACCGACTGAGCCACCCAGGTGCCCCCAGACTACCTGGTTTGAATTATGGCTCCCACACTTACTAGCTCTGTAAATTCAGTAACCATGTGCCTCACTCTCGCCATCTGAAATGGAGAGATAACCTCATAGGTGTTCCTGGGATTTAAATAAGGATTAAGTGAATGGTACCTGACACTAGTAAATGCTTCCAATAAGTATTAACTATTATTATTGTTGTTATTGGTAATACAAGTATTAGTATTTCCAGATCACTTGTTAAGTCAGAAAAAACCCGTAATATTTCTTTTTTTCCTGTTCCCTAGTGGTTCCTTCTGCTTGTGTTTTTCTTGTCATTTGTCAGATGAACTCCTAAAGTCAAACTCAGATTATTTTTATTTTATTTTAAATATTTTTGGAATAGGGGATATATTCAGATGGTTCAAAATTCAGATTTGTCTCCCATCTTTGTCTTCCAACTAAGTTTCCTTCCCTAGAGATGATCAAGAAACCTCAAGTTATTATTATTTTTTAAATTTTACTTATTTATTTTGGGAGAGAGAGTTGGGGGGGGCAGGGAGAGGGAGAGGGAGAGAGAGAGAGAGAGAGAGGATCCTAAGCAGTGCAGAACCTGACACAGGGCTCGAATTCACAAACTGCAAGATCATGACCTGAGCTGAAATCAAGAGTTGCAGGGCTTGAACTCACCAACTGTGAGATCTTGACCTGAGTTGAAGTCAGGAGTCAATACTTAACTGACTGAGCCACTCAGGTGCCCCAAGAAGTCTCAATTTAAACATTTTCTGTGAACACTTTTTTAATTCTCTCCACATCCCACCCCTGCTGCATAGATTAACCACTTCCTCCTTCCTTCCTGGTACTGTTTTGCTTTGAACCTTATAGACTATATGTATGTATTTTATTTCATTTTAAAATTTTAAAACAACGTTTATTTTTGAGAGAGAGAAAGAGAAAGAGAGAGAGAGAGAGAGAAAGAGAGAGAGAGAATGAGTTGGGGAGGGGCAGGGAGGGAGGGGGACAGGGGATCAGAAGCCAGCTCCGTGCTGACAGCAGAGAGCCCTATGTAGGGCTTGAACTCAAGAACCGTGAGATCATGACCTGAGCCAAAGTTCAACACTTAATTGACTGACCCACCCAAGTGCCTCTTATTTATATTTTTTAGTATACTGTATTTATTGAGCACTTCTAATTTGTGTAGACTCTGAGGATGCAGCGTTTAAAATAGACAAGATCTCTGTTCTCATGGAGGTTATACAGTATGGTGAAGAAGACAGACACTAAATAATCAAATAACAATTTCAGGGAATGATAGTGCGGTGTAGAAAATGGAGTAACATGATAGAGAGTGTATGTTTTGGGTGGGGGGGGTGGGAGACTGGCAGTGTTAGAGTGGTCAGGCAGGTGACATGTGAGATTCCACTAGTAAGGAAGCTCTGGGGAAGAACATTTCACGTGTAGAAGGAACACGTGCAGAGGCCCTGAAGTGGGCATAAACTTGGCATGTTGAGTGCTGGAAAGAGCATGCATGGCAGTTTAAATGAGACATGCCTGTCTCATTTGGAAGATGATGAGATGTTCATGTGATCAGTGGCTGTGGTGGACAGTCGCTGGTTACTGAGCCTGGCTGGTGGCACTTAGGTGTTGCTCACACATGTATTAGACTAGTGACGGAAAGATCATGGTCTTTGGAGTCAGACCAGAATTTGCAAGTACGCTGAGCCACTTATAAACAAATTTTATGAACTCTTACATTTCAGTTTCTATGTCTGTAGGGAGGAGGTAATGACACCTACCTTAAGGAATACCTATGAGATATAATAGGTTTTGTATGGACATACAGTAGTTGCTCGTGTGTGTGTGTGTGTGTGTGTATGCATGCCTTGGTTTCATTTTTTTTTAATGTTTTTATTTATTTTTGGGACAGAGAGAGACAGAGCATGAGCAGAGGAGGGGCAGAGAGAGAGGGAGACACAGAATCTGAAGCAGGCTCCAGGCTCTGAGCTGTCAGCACAGAGCCCGATGTGGGGCTCGAACTCACAGACTGTGAGATCATGACCTGAGCTGAAGTCAGACGTTTAACCGACTGAGCCACCCAGGCGCCCTGCCTTGGTTCCATATTTGAAGTGGCACTAATGCAGTTTCTGGTTTTTTTCTGTGTTGTTATCACATATTTTTTGCTTTTGGATTTGAATTTTTACGAAATGTAGCAGTGTTGGTTGGCAATTAAATTCCCTATTTTTATTTGTATTTTTTTTAATGTTTATTTTTGAGAGAGAGAGAGAGAGAGAGAGAGAGCAAGTGACGGAGGGGGAGAGAGAGAGGAGACAGAAGATCTGAAACAGACTGCACTGACAGCAGAGAGCCCTACACGGGGCTCGAACCCATGAACTGCGAGATCATGATGTGAGCCAAAATCAAGAGTCAGACGCTTAGCCAACTGAGCCACCCAGATGCCCCTAAATTCCCTATTTATTAAGTATTTTTTTTCCCTTTTCTTCTATAAAAGTGAAAATACTCATACTAGCACAACTTGGTAAGGAGTAGTTTACGAAAATATACTTCATGCTATAAGTGATTTAAATTGGTATAAAACCTTCCCATTGTATATATTTTAAACCTACTTTTGGATCTTAAATTTAGAATTTATATAATGCAAAGAAAAGTTGCTCTCTCTTCATTTCATTAATTAATTCTTGTTCATATTTCTTTACAGAAATGTTACGAACAGAAGCAGTACAAAAATGGCCTCAAGTTTTGCAAGATGATTCTTTCAAATCCAAAATTTGCTGAACATGGAGGTATTGCCTCATCTATGAGAGACTGCTTTGGGGAACTGTAATTCCAAAATCAGACAGATAGGATTCCTAACAGTGAAAGAATACTTCCAGATTCCATGCCTTGTAGCTCTCTATTAGAGTATATAAACATTTTTGGTTATGTGTCTTACCAATCTTATTCTAGGTCACTTTCCTTTTATTATGCTTAGGTGTATGCACAGTCTTTGCTTTCAGATAAGTGACTGGTTGATCTGTTGGGGAATAATTGGAGTATATAACAGTACTTTTATAGATGTCATTTCATCTATTACTTTGAATAGGACTTAAATTTATACTTTGATTTCTTGTCTGAAATGAGGATCATATCTGCAATACAGAAGTAGTATAAAAATAGTCAGATGTATTTTATTCTTTGGTAGATGTCTTTTGTATATATATGCTGACCTTTCTATATAAATACTTAAATTAGATACTATTGATTTACCATTAAATTGTTTATCTTGAGTTGTTAGCAGGGTGTTAATAGGTCTGTATTTGCTTGTCTCATCCTTTTTCACTGGTGACCAGTGTTTATTTAAAGGATGGATCAGGTTAGACATGCAAGTTATGGTCCTACAGCAGAGCACAGCTAATTGGAATCTCTGATATTAGACGAGGGTAACTCTTGAGACCATCTTCTTGAGAAAATAGGCTAACTCTGCTCAGCTTTCGAATAACATTGAAAACATTCTTTGAAGGAAATGGAAAGAAGTCTTCATTTCATAGAATTTTAAAAATGTAAAGCTTGTTTTCAAGTTTTTTTCTCCATGGAACCCTTATCCAAAGTGCAACAGGTGGAAAAAACAGATAAATGTGTATAAAATGACAGATAAATGAAGATGTTTGTAGGGGTCTGACTGCTGAATCACTGTGTTCTGAAAACCAGAGTCCACAGATATCATTTGAAAACCATTGTTCTTGTCTAATTCCCTGCTTGTGGATTTATTCAGAGAATCATTTCATTATAAGCCGTCTTTCATTAGCTGCCTTAAATATATTCTTGGGTTGCTACTCCTTCACCAGTCTTATACTCTTGAAATGCAAACTGATATTCCAACTAGAATTAGTTGGAATAAACTTGTGGCCAAAAATAAAGTGTGTTCCAATACTGAATAGGCTTATTTTTACATTGCATACATCTCTTTGCTAAGGAAGATTGTTTTTGTGGGGTGTAAATCAGATGGTGGATAGAAGTGCTCTTGGATGAAAGCTGTGGAGCCACTGTAGTAGAGTTAACTCAACAGGACTCGGTGCCTACTGTGTTACCTTTTCTCAGCAGAATAATCTCAACCCCCTTTGTACAGTCTTCTAAAAGGCAGAAAGCATTGTAGGAGTCCTAGCCTAAGGGATTTCAGTCCCTAGTCCTCAGTCGTAGTCTAAGGGATTTCAGAAAAGGATTCAGGCTAAGCTTCAGTAAATACTTAAATGTAGTTTTACTTTTTGTATTGGAGAGAAGTTTCTTTTTATTTATTTATTTATTTATTTATTTATTTATTTATTTATTCAGTATATGGAATTTATTGTCAAATTGGTTTCCATACAACACCCAGTGCTCATCCCAAAAGGTGCCCTCCTCAATGCCCATCACCCACCCCCCATCAACCCTCAGTTTGTTCTCAGTTTTTAAGAGTCTCTTATGTTTTGGCTCTCTGGAGAGAAGTTTCTAACTATGTGACTAAAAAGACAAATAATGTAAGCATTGGCAGATATCATATTAAAATAGTACTAAGAGCTAAACAAAATAAAATAGTGCTAAGAGAATATGAATTCTTTGTGCGTAAATAGAGGTTAAAAATATTTTTCAGAGACTTTGGCTATGAAGGGATTAACATTGAACTGCTTAGGAAAAAAAGAAGAAGCGTATGAATTTGTTCGTAAAGGACTTCGTAATGATGTCAAGAGCCATGTCTGTATCCTTTTGCAATAATTGAACTTTATTATTTCATTTACTTTCCATTTAGTAGGGTTTTCTAATTCAGAAAAAACAGACCTTTACTATGGAAAGTTTTGCATAGAAGAAAGAATTCAATGAATTCTGTGTACCGTTACTCAGCTTCAATAATCATCAACATTTTGTAATATTAGTTTCTTCTAGTCCCCATCCCTTGTTTATTACAGCTGGTTGAAAGAGAATCCCTGTACAGTATGTATTCACTTCAGTTGTGCTTAGTGTGAGAGAAAAGGAACTGATACATGACTTGAAACCCATTTTTGTCTTACATATCCATAAACCTGTCATTCCAACTGACTTGTATAGTAAAATTAGTGTTCTTTAAACTTTGTTTTAGACATTTCGGAAGAAAAATTCAGAAACACCCTGTTTTAAAACAGAGTTTATTTATTAGTATTGAGTATGATATTGGTTCTTCAGTTTGGTTTCTGGTGCACAGGGACAAAGCTGGTAACTTCACTGGATACTTACTGTATTTTTCATTGGCTGATATCTCAGTATGTGAACAGACAAAAGTACTTTTTTTTTTAAAGCTTTTTTATTTTTATTTTTATTTTTTATTTATTTATTTTTATTTTTTATTAAAAAAAATTTTTTTTTAACGTTTATTTATTTTTGGGACAGAGAGAGACAGAGCATGAACGGGGGAGGGTCAGAGAGAGGGAGACACAGAATCTGAAACAGGCTCCAGGCTCTGAGCTGTCAGCACAGAGCCCGACGCGGGGCTCGAACTCACGGACCATGAGGTCATGACCTGAGGTGAAGTCGGCCGCTCAACCGACTGAGCCACCCAGGCGCCCCTTTATTTTTATTTTTTTTAACGTTTATTTATTTTTGAGACAGAGAGCATGAATGGGGGTGGGCAGAGAGAGAGAGAGGAAGACACAGAATGGGAAGCAGGCTCCAGGCTCTGAGCCATCAGCCCAGAGCCGGACGCAGGGCTCAAACTCACAGACCGCGAGATCGTGACCTGAGCCGAGGTCCGACGCTTAACTGACTGAGCCACCCAGGCGCCCCCAAAAGTACTTTTTAAGGATGGGTCATCGAAACTGACTTTCATTTTTGTTTGGCTAATCTGTGTGCTTATTCACAATCTTTTCACATGTTGCCCTTGGATCTTAATATTTTATTCATCTAGGTATTGGCCAGTATTGAACATCAGTAGTCTAAGTAGTGTTTTCATGTATTTAGCTTAGGGTTCTCTCAAAATACTAAATACTTATTTCTTTATCTCAGTGCCTACCCCAGAATGAAGAGAAAGGGCATGTAAGTATGATAGTTTTTTTTGGCTCTAAGATATGCTCAGACTTTAATTTATAGTAAATAAAATTTTGTGGTTGTTAGTGTCACTATTGAATTAACTGATGGTTACGTGTTGTTTGAGAATTGATTGACTATAAACTAGATTTAAATTTTTTTTTTTTTTAACATTTATTTATTTTTGAGTCAGAGAGAGACAGAGAATGAACAGGGGAGGGGCAGAGAGAGAGGGAGACACAGAATCTGAAACAGGCTCCAGGCTCTGAGCTGTCAGCACAGAGCCCGACGCGGGGCTCGAACTCACGGACCGTGAGATCATGACCTGAGCTGAAGTCGGATGCTTAACCAACCAAGCCACCCAGGCGCCCCTATAAACTAGATTTAAAAGATAGTTGGCAGCTTTTGTGTGTATAGTAATGAAGCATCAGTAAGTATTGAGGTGCTGGGGTGAGGAACTAAGGGGGTAAGAGGTAGGAAACGTGAGGAATTTTTACCAAGAATTTTCTAAGGTTACATAAATACAATGGAGAATTCCAAACACGTGTAAGTGGAGAGCATAGACTAATGAACCCCCATCACCCAACTTTAATAATTTAACAGTTGTCAGTCAGGACTAATCTGGTTTGATCTCTTACCACCTGCTCACTGTCCCCCTCCCTCTGACCCCAGATTATTCTGAAGTAAAATCCAAGACAACTTACCACTTCGTTAAGGTAAGCTTTATATTAGATATGTAGCATAGCATATTTTAGTATCTGTGAATGTCTCTATTTCCTTAACTTAGTAGGTTGGCATGTTTATGGACTCTTGCAACGTTCTGATAAGAAGTATGATGAAGCTATTAAGTGCTATCGAAATGCCCTCAAATTAGATAAAGATAATCTACAAATTTTGAGAGATCTCTCTCTGTTGCAGATTCAAATGAGAGACCTTGAAGGTTATCGAGTAAGTACTTTAGTCTTAAGTGTACGTGTTCTTACAACAGACATAATTTGAAAACATTTGGGTTCAGAATGATATGAGCATAGGCCAAGACTATATAGATTTGATTGTTCATTATCATCTATAGCAGAAGGGGAAAGTCACCTGAGACATTCTTCCCCAGTTAATAGTTGTGGAACTACATAGTTAATCATAAAAAGAGGGTAACTGTTTATTCATTTAATGCTTTTTAAAAACTAGACTACCTCCTATGTGCAAGGACTACCTCCTATTTACAGTTTTGGTAAACAAAGCTTTTATAATTGAAAGCTAAATGTAGGGATTAATTAGCTTTCTCTGTTATGGATTAGTAAATATAAAATGATGTGGCAGGATTGCTATAAAGCAGTCTTTCTCTGGTCCAGACCTCTTCATACTGGCACCTTCCAATCTGCTGGGTATCTCCATGTGCTTACTCCATTGAGTACCCTGACTTCAGTATGTCCACAATGGAATTCTCTCCCTTATATGAAGGAGACCACCAACTCTTAACATTTCTTTTTAAATAAATTAAGTTCTTTCATTTACTTTTTACTTTTGTCTTCTACCATACAAATCCTTATACCCTGTGCCTAGATTTTTGCAGGTTTCGAGCATTCTGCTGAGCTTAATAAAGGTATCATTCTTCCAGATCATGATTTTTTCGTTTAGCCTAGGTGCGGTGGGAGTTAAAATCAGTTATCCATAGGAATGAGGCAAGGAAATTATTGGCAAACCGTGCTTGCTAAAAGGGGTAGTGAAGATACAAGAGCAGTGGTTAGAAGTGAAGGACCTAAGGAACCAGAAGTACTGGTGGTTTCCCAGAACAAGGGTAGGAATGTCACTGAATAAGAGTGTTGGCCAGAGAGTGAGATATCTGAATTTATGATTTCTGGGTGGTAGTAAGGTCTAGGGTGTGGTTGCAGTAAAGTCTCATGGGTCCCTGAAGTGGGGTAAAGGAGATCATTAAAGATGAAGAAATCCTGATTCTAAGACAATAGCTTGTTTTGGATGGGTGATCCACAGTGTTGCATTTGCAGCAGGATAGTGGCAGGATTTGGCAGAGAGAAGAAAACTGACCCAGACTTTAATGAAGAAAGGAAGTGACAGAAACAGTGGTGAAAAGGAGAGATGGGAGTAACACAGCTTAATTTCATGTGCCTAAAATGAACCAGGCACACAAGGGGAGAGGAGTGATACTGTCTAAGTCGTTTGCTCAAAGATCTTTTTCTTGAAAAGACTGATCATGTTCTCCTTGTGACATATAGTGTGGATGGACTCACTTGGCACCTATTCCAACAATAGAAGCTAAAAACACTACATTTTCAGAACTTCATTGCAGCTAGTGTTCTTTGTGAGACCGTTTCCCCACACAGTTGTACGCACCTAAAACTCAGAGTCAATACGAGCTGTGAAGGGGTGGGGGCTGTGTAGGAAGGTTGTATTTTGTGCTAGTGAAGATATCTGGATTCTTCGGGGTAGCCCTGGTGGAATTTCTGGGGTTTTCTCCCTAATGTCTTACATTATTATTACACTGTCTTCAAGTGGCAGCAGTGTTCTGTTAGAAAATTCCAGGCTGATGTTTGAGTGTTTGCTCAGGCTTTGTCCACCCTGCTTCTGGAGCTTCTTGTAACAATGTGAATACATTATAATTTCACACAGTGATTTTATAAACAGCAGAATTTAGTTTAATAAAAAGGTATCTTAGTCTCTCTTCAAAGATGTTTAGTTACCAAAAGAAATATGCATTATATAAAAGTAATTTTATAAGGCAACCCAAAAGCATGGGCCCCAAGAATAGCTTTTTAGTAAAAGCTTTACAGTGAGCATTAACAGAGTATTCTAGAACTTAAGTAATTTAGATAAGAACATAAAAACTATTTCTATTTTATTCAGGAACTGATGTTTATTCCTTGAATTCATTAGAAAGGAATTAAAGGCATTAAATTGTTTTCTTACAGCTCTGTGTTGAAATACAAATATTTTAGAGACAGTTAAAGTGAAAAGAGAAAAAGACAATTTTTAATTATTTTTTTTTTAGGAGACAAGGTATCAGCTTCTTCAGTTGCGCCCAACGCAGCGTGCTTCCTGGATTGGATATGCTATTGCATACCATTTGCTGAAAGATTATGATATGGCACTAAAACTATTGGAAGAGTTTAGACAAACTCAGCAAGTAAGAACTTCATTCTTACATTTTCTCCTACCCACACAAACTAAAATAGTTGACTTCTATATTGCCCCGATTCTCAATTATGCATTAAAGTCTTTGGGACCCATGGAAAAACTTAAAAAATTTTTGAAATAATTGGAAAAAATTAAAATACAGAATTCTTTTTTTTTTTTTATGCTTATTTATTTTTTTAAAAAAAATTTTTTTTTTTTCAACGTTTATTTATTTTTGGGACAGAGAGAGACAGAGCATGAATGGGGGAGGGGCAGAGAGAGAGGGAGACACAGAATCGGAAACAGGCTCCAGGCTCTGAGCCATCAACCCAGAGCCTGACGCGGGGCTCAAACTCACGGACCACGAGATCGTGACCTGGCTGAAGTCGGACGCTTAACCGACTGTGCCACCCAGGCGCCCCTATGCTTATTTATTTTTGAGAGAGAGAGAGAGACAGAGTGTGAGCAGGCAAAGGGCAGAGTGAGAGGGAGACACAGAATCTGAAGCAGGCTCCAGGCTCTGAGCTCAGCACAGAGCCCAATGCGCGGCTTAAACTCACAGGCTGTGAGATCATGACCCAAGCCAAAGTTGGACATTTAACTGACTGAGCCACCCAGGTGCTCCTAAAACACTGAATTCTTGATAGAGAATAAATATTATGAAAAATTTTGTACTCTGTTATTTTGATGATATTCAAATGACTAAAGAAAAGAATACACAAAAATGAAAATAGTTTTGTGATTACAGAATTATTCCTCATACATATAGCTTTATGTTTTATGTAAATATGTTAATACATTTTAATACACATGCAAAGTAGAAAAATGCAAAAAATATATACTATGCATTATTAGATAAATAGATGCTAACATTTTGCCACACTTTCTCCAGATTTTATTATTTTTTAAAGAAATATTTGGGGCGCCTGGGTGGCTCAGATGGTTGAGTGCTCAGCTCTTGATTTCGTCTCAGGTCATGATCCTAGGGTCATGGGACTGAGCTCCGCATTGGGCTCTGCACTGAGTATGGGGCCTGCTTAAGATTCTTTCTCTCTTGGGGTGCCTTGGTGACTCAGTCAGCTAAGTGTCCGACTCTTGGTTTCTGCCCAGGTCATGATCTCACAGTTTTGTGAGTTTGAGGCCCACATCAGGCTCTGTGTTGTGGCAGGGCGGAGCCTGCTTGAGATTCTCTCTCTCTTCCCTTGCTCTCTGATCCTCCCCCACTTGGGATATCTCTGTCTCTCTCAAAATAAATAAACTTTAAGAAAAAAAGATTCTCTCCCTCTGCCTCCCTCCCCTGCTTGCATGTGCATACTCTTTCTCACTCTCTCTAAAAAAACCTTAAAAATTTATAAAGAAAGAAATACTAGAGAAGTAGTTACAAAGTTCTCCCACATCCCTAGAGGTAGCCGCTATTCTGAAATTGTTATAGATCATTCCTAGTCACGTTTAGGTTATATATAAGCCCATAAAAATTACAAACTGTTACTTTGTGTATTTAAAAGTTGACAGAACAATATGCAGTGTTTTTGCATCTTGAGACATATCTGTGTTGATACATGTAGGGCTAGTTTATCCATCTTTTTAAAAAAAATGTTTATTTACTTTTGAGAGAGAGAGAGGGAGGGAGGGTGGGGGGTGGCAGAGAGAGAGGGAGACAGGATCCAAAGCAGGCTCTGTGCTGACAGTGGAGAGTCCAACGTGGGGGCTCAAACTCACAAGCCATGAGATCATAACCTGAGCCAAAACCAAGAGTTGGATGCTTAACCACCTGAGCCACCCAGGTGCCCCAAGTTTATCTGTTTTTAACTGCTATTTGGTATTTCATTATATAAATAAGCCATAGTTTATCAATTCCACTTTTTCCTTATGCCAATACCACACTATCTTGATTACTGTTGCTTTATAGTATATTTGAAATTTGAAATGCATGTCCTCCCACTTTGTTCAAGATTGTTTTGGCTATACAGGGTTTCTTTTATTTCCATTTGAGTTTTAGGATTAGCATGTCAATTTCTGCAGAAAAGCTTGCTGAGAGTTTTATATGGATTGCATTGAATTTGTAGACCAATTTGGAGAAAATTGCCATCAAAACAGTATTGAGTATCCTGACCCATGCACAGGGTTTAGAGTGTCTCCATTTATAATAGATTCTTAATTTCTCTCAGCATGTTATCTTCAGTGTATTGGTCTTGTTTCCTAAATTTATTCCTAAATATTTTGTTCTTTTAGATGTTTTATCATAAATGAAATTGAGTTGTTGGTTTCTAGTATATGGAAGTATAATTGATTTTTGTATTTTGATCATGTATTCTGTCACCCTACTAAACGTTTTTATTCTAGTAGTTTTTGTTAAATTCTTTAGGATTTTAACCATTTTCATATTCTGTGGGTATAGGATTTGCTGACCTGAATCTTGACTTTGCCGGGGCGCCTGGGTGGCGCAGTCGGTTAAGCGTCCGACTTCAGCCAGGTCACGATCTTGCGGTCCGTGAGTTCGAGCCCCGCGTCGGGCTCTGCGCTGATGGCTCAGAGCCTGGAGCCTGTTTCCGATTCTGTGTCTCCCTCTCTCTCTGCCCCTCCCCCGTTCATGCTCTGTCTCTCTCTGTCCCAAAAATAAATAAACGTTGAATCTTGACTTTGCCATAGGCAGAAGTGCCACCTTTTTGTTTGTTTTAAAGAATGTATTGGGGCACCTGGGTGGCTCAGTCGGTTAAGCGTCCAACCTTGATTTCAGCTCAGGTCATGATCTCATGGCTCGTGAGTTTGAGCCCCACATCGAGCTCTGTGCTGACAGCGCAGATCCTGCTTGGGATTCTCTCTGATTCTCTCTCTCTTTCTTTATGTCTGCCCCTCCTGCTTTCTCTGTCTCTCTCTCAAAAATAAATAAAATAAACTTAAAAAGAATATTAATTTTCTTCACTATTAATCACTCTTCTATTTGTAATAGCTTCTCAGTTGCTTTTTTTAATCTATGTGAGTGACTCTTCCGAGGAAGCGATTAAAGGTGTATAACTGTTTTATATAATTATATAAATAATTTTTGTTAATTTTTTTCAGGTTCCTCCCAACAAAATAGACTATGAATATAGTGAACTGATACTATACCAGAATCAAGTGATGAGAGAGGCAGACCTATTTCAGGAATCTTTGGAACATATAGAAACATATGAGAAACAGATATGTGATAAACTTTTGGTGGAAGAAATTAAAGGTAAGTTACCTGCTTTTTCTTTATCAGTGGCCTCAATTAAAGAAAAGAATAAAAGCTACATACTTTACTCTGCCCTAGTACTTAAATAAGACTTCGTATGTAATAAAAAACATTTTTATTATTAATCTAATGTCTATTAAATTAATCCTCAGAACAATACCATGATATGGTTCGTATATTTCATTTTAGAGAGGAGGGGCTGAGGAATCAGACTGGTTAAGTGCTTTGCCCAAAGTCATACAGCTAAGTAAGCTGGGTAATGGTGGATTTGAGTCTAGGGATTTTGGCTCCAGATTCCATTTTCGTAGGCAGTGTCTTATACTCCCTTCATACTTCTCACCCCCAAATATATATCCATGAAATGATGACACTGGGGTCATTATGAAAGTAAGATTGATTTATTTTCAATATGGGCTAATTATGAAGGCAGGATCCTGATAATAAATAGTTTGTTTAAAATGTTCATCAACAAAGAGTCAAGTACATTTGTTTAAAACAAAGTTTGCTCATCAGTTAACATTCTCTTAGCAGTACATAGTAAAATGAACAACTAAAGCAATAATTAGCTTAAAACTAAAGTTTCATATAGTTGTGGGACTTCTAAACTTCATAAAAATAATAGCTAAGATTTATTTACTTTTCCTGTGTCTCAGAGTATGGTAATTGCTTAAACTTCTTTATTTCATTTAATTTTTTAGCACTTCTAACATGGGTAGATTATCCCCATTTTATAGTTGAGGAGACTAAAGTTTAGGGAGGTTAAAGACTTGCCCAAAGTCACCCAGCCTTTTAGGTGGTAGAGTTAATTTGTAAATACATCTTCCTGGGCTTCAGAGCCCTTATTTTGTTTTATTTTATTTTATTTTATTTTATTTTATTTTATTTTATTTTATTTTATTTTATTTTTATTTTATTTTATTATTATTATTATGATCATGATTATGATTTATTCATTTTTATTTTATTGCATATTATTTTATTTTTATTATTATTATTTATTTATTTATTTATTTAACTTATTTTATTTATTTATTTTTTAAAGTAAACTCTATACCCAACATGGGGCTTGAACTCAGGACCCCAAGATCAAGAGTCGTATGCTCTACCAACTGAGCCAGCCGGGTGCCCCTACTTTTTTTTTTTATTGTTGTTTGTTTTAAATTTAAAGTCTTCATTTTTATAGAGCAATTTTACGTTCACTGCAAAATTGAGTGGAAGGTACAGAGATTTCACATATACTCTCTGTCCTCACACATGCACAGCCTCCCCTACCATTATCAACATCCCCCAGCAGAATGGTATATTTGTTGCAATTAGTGAACCTACACTGAATGTAACTATCACCCAAAGTCTACAGTTTACATTAAAGTTCACTCTCGTATACTGTCTAGGTTTTGACATATATCCACCACCGTAGTGTCACGTAGAGTAGTTTCATTGCTACACAAACCCTCTGTGCTCTGCCTATTTGTTTGTCCTTGCCCCCAGCTCCTGACCACCACTGATCCTTTTACTATCTCCATAGGTGCGCCTTTTCCAGAATGTTATATAGTTGGAATCATGTAGTATGTAGCTTTTTTAGATTAGCTTTTTTCACATAGTAATTTAAGATTCCTTCATTTCTTTTCATGAGTCCTTACTTTTAACTTCTATTTTCAACTCTTCTAGTTAATGTATAGCAACTTACTGATTTAATTTTTGTGAATAATACTAATGACAACACTATTTTTCTATTTATTTATTTATTTATATTTTTCCAAGTTTTTATTTAAAAAATTCCAGTTATACATATAGTTAACATACAGTGTAATAATTAGTTTCACGTGTGGAATTTAGTGATTCATCACTTACACACAACACCCGATGCTCATCACAACACGTGCCCTCCTTAGTACCCATCACTCATCTAGCCCATTCCACATGCCTACCTCCCTCCGTCAGTCCTCGGTTTGATATCTATAGTTAAGAGTCTGCTTTATGGTTTGCCTATTTTTCCCCCACTGTATTCATCTGTTTTGTTTCTTAAATTCCACATAAGAGTGAAATCATATGGTATTTGCCTTTTTCTGATTTATTTTGCTTAGCATAATGATCTCTAGCTCCATCCATGTCGTTGCAAATGGCAAGATTTCTTTTTTTATGGCTGAGTAATAATATATACCACATCTTTATCCATTCATCAGTCGATGGGCATTTGGGCTCTTTTCATTATTTGGCTATTGAACAACAGTATTTTTCAAACAGTGGTAAAATGGCGATAAATTATTTAATGTTCTGGTTTCTTTCTTCTATCACTTATAATTGATGGGAGCAAAGAAAATGGCAATTATTTTTATATTCTGATGTATTATTGCTATTTCTTGATTAACTCTTAACTCGGGTTGCTTTCTCTCTCTCTCGTAACAGCAGTCCAGAATGCAGTGATTAAAAAGTAGATAAGATATAGTGAGATCAGTTCTAGTTCAAACAGTGTGCAAGTTGCAGTGTTGCCACATTCATCCATATGTTGCTAGTGAGGGGAATTTGGGGCCATCATCTTGAATATAAAGCCAGTACTTTATACTGCTTATAGAGACAAGTTAGAGTATTATTTTTTCAGTGAACTTTGCAGGGCCCAGAGAGACCTTTGACATTTACACATTGATGTCTTTTGTAGTCCTTAGCATATTAAGATCCTTTAATAAACAAAAAATGTTAGAAATCTTCACTTACTTTATGAATATGCAAATGCATTTTTTTTTCTGTGTAGTCCTCTAGTAATAATCTTTGCCTGTGATGGTAGCAGAAAACAAAGGTTTTTGGAATTGAAATCTGTGTTGTTGTCTATTTACCTAGGGTAAGCCAGGTAAAAACTGGACTAGCCAGAAATTAATTGTGGAGGAATGTGGCATGTTTATACTTTTAAGTAGCAAACACTTGTGTGCATTCGTTTTGTGCCAAGCATTGTGCTAACTAACCAGTTTAAATTAATATATCACAAAAGCAGACAGAGGTAGTCGATATTTTATAGGTAAGTGGACATTGGAAGCTTGTAACATGCTCAGGGTCACAGAGTTAGAAAATGGTAAAGCTGGAAATTATATCGAGTTAGTCTTCTTCTAGAGCTTGAGTAATACATAAAAATAGTAAAATAATAGCATGTAATAACCACTTTAATATATTGTCCCCTCCCAGATGATGAAAGCTGAAATAATATGTCTGAAGACATTTCAAAGGTTTCTTCCTTTGAAATAGATTGGGGAAGGGGAAATAGCAATAGGAAGTTGAGGTATACTCTTTTTTGAGAATCTCTCTTTTACCTTGGATTACATGCACTTTGTATTCTACCTGAGAAGTTTAGATACTCATTTCCCAAACCTACTTCCAATTTGTGTGGCTTGGTAAAAGGATTCGGACCTTAGGGGTGATCCACGTGTGAATCTGGTTTATGTGGTTTCTAGCTGTGAAGTGGTACTTAGTGTTTTTGCTTCACTGAGTTAAACTTTGGCAGTTTTAGTGATGTAGAAAGGAATCTAAGAGAATTGAATGGAAAATTTTTAATATAGGAATTGATCAGGAAAAGTACATTCAAATCTAGCAGTAGGAATGTAGGGATATTTCATTCGAATTAGTTACCAATCTGTGTTGGGAGTCTTTAATTGTTGTTAAAGGTATATAAAAACGTGTACAATACAAATATTTTTACCAAGAACTTAATATACTGTATGTATATTTGGAGTGTGGGAGGGAGCCAAAATGTTAGCTTATAATATTATAATTTTATATATAATATATATAATTAATAATTCTATTAATATTTATTATGCTATTTATATTATAATTATAATATTAGAATGTTAGTATATAATAGAATGTGTAAATGAAGGTTCACTTCTGAAGTGAATATTAATTATATATAATTAATAATTATATTAATATTTATTATAATATTTATGATATTATAATTATAATATTAGAATGTTAGTATATAATAGAATGTGTAAATGAAGGTTCACTTCTGAAGACAAGCTGTGAATTAATCTGTGTCTAATGGTATAAACTGCAACATGTCCCAAAGGGAAGCACATACAGTTTTTTCATAAATATCTAGTATGTTAATACTGCTTAGTGAAATCTATGAGATCAGAAAGTTATTTAATGTTTGAGTAAAATGAATGTGAATTTAAACTTAATTTTAGGGGAAATGCTGTTGAAATTGGGAAGATTAAAAGAAGCCAGTGAAGTGTTCAAAAACTTGATTGATCGGAATGCAGAAAATTGGTGTTATTATGAAGGCTTGGAAAAAGCTCTGCAACTTAGTATGTAATTATTTTTCTCCTCTACCTTATCTTCACTAGTGCTTGAAGTGAATGCAAAGTTGTGATAATATTTGAGGACAGATATTTTTAGCATTAGCATTTATTTTTCCATTTAGGAGAATTACAGGTTAAACATGGCAGTGAAGATGAGTTCAGATATTTATTTATACTTTAGTAATAAATGCTCATGGATAATTTTAAGTTCCTTGACCCATTAAAATGTTACCAATTTAGGCTAACTAGAGAGCTGGGGAGGAAAGTAAGCCGGTTCCATTTCTGGGAAACGTAGTTATTTAGTATTTTTTAAAGAATTAGAGGTTTGTTACCCTCAGCCTTTAAACATAAGAATTAGGCCAAAGCAGTTTTGCTGAGGATATGTATTGTATAGCATCAGCATGAAAATTATCCTCTTAATTTCAGGCTGGGCTACTTTGCATAGAGCAAAATGTCACATATCTTCTTTTCAAATTAGGTAAACTATCCTTTTTGGAAATCTAGAATTGCAATTTTCCCTAGTATTTTCATAATTAAATGTTGCTCAGAGCAGTTAATATTCCTAGTATATTTACTCATGGATAAATACATGGCTGAAATAATTTTGAAAATATGGCTCAAGGGTGTTGAAACAGCAGAACTTTTAAATTTAAAGATATGGTAAAAATAGGTAGCTACTCATACTCATTTATAGAAGTGTAAGCCATGAGAAAAATTTTTTGTTGTGTTCTCATCACTATAAATTACCAGGTTTTCTGTTAGTGTTTAAAATTTAATATCACAGGTCGTTAATTGTTTCCTTTAAATTGTCTTTAAGAAAATGATGAAAACAAAAATTATTGATTACATCAATAATTTGTGTTTTTAAAAAATCAGGATAAAAGTTTTCTATTTGAAGGTTGGAAATGCAAGATAACTGTGATGTTTTTCTTTAAACTATCAGTTACTGACATGTAGTTAATACAGATATTTAAATGTTTAGTAAGTTGAATATAACCTGTTCCATGTCAAGAACCATGCTTACTATAAAATATTTTGATTACAAACTAATTATATTACTTTATCTTTTTAGGTTCCATAGGACCTTTTCTCCCCCATGGTAAGTTCTGGAGCTCCAACTTGTGACTTCAAATAGGACATTGGAATGGTTTGGTTTGGTTTTGTCTTAACTTAACTACATTTATAAGACTTGTTATATTTGGGATAGTGGGGAATTTTTTTTCTTATATTCTTAGGATTAGGCTTAAATATGAGACCTGCCTTTTAAAAGCAGTAAATAGCCTTCATGTAAATTTTAGTATAAGGGTCCTTGATATTTCATGAAGTCTCCAGATTGTTAACAGAATGTAAAAATTATCTTTCATGTATCCCAGGTTTTGAATCCTACCACATTGGAGCTCCAAAACATACTATTGGGGGAAGGAAAGAGTTTAAACAAAATCAAACATTACCTTTTTAAGTGTTACATTTATAGTCTCGATAGTGAACACTACATTTAGGATGGAGATACCTTGATTGCTAGCACCAAGGGTTCTTCTTACAAAATATTTCCGCTTTCTGAGTTGAAATCAATTAAAAACCTTACAGTTTAAAATCAAATTTGTTTGCTTTCTCTTAAAATTCTGTTGTAAATTGTCTTACTGCTTATATGAAACAGTGCATATAATCTCTCTTTGCAAATTATAGTAGATATTATTTTAGAATAATGAACTGGACCCAGATCCTACCTTGCAAATTGTTATTGCAGAGTCACCTGTAGTTTGTGTGTATGTATATGTATATGTGTGTGTATATATATATACATATATATATATATATATATATATATATATATATATATATATATATATATATATATATGTATATATACGTTTTCTATTCAGTACTATAAAATTAATTTGGTCTTGGGAGGGAAGACCCAACTTTCTGTTAGAAGTATATTTTGTGTCACTATATTTGGGAGAAATAATTTGCCACTTTAAACAATCTGTATGAATCGGATTCTTTATAATGGAGTTTCATTGAAGATTTTAAGTGTTAAAGCTACCTTAGAAATTTAGTTCACTTTTTAAACTATAAGACATTCACATTCATGATGCTGAAACAGTTGCTTTTTAAAACCTAATCAATGGGTGTTACAGCCTTTTGTGGGGAGGTGTGTAGGCTTCATCGGGCTAGAGAGTTTGTGTAAGATAAGTCTTGAAGGAGGACTTTCTTTTTCATGGTTGTGCGCTAATGAATGGAAGTGCTGTGTATCTTGAGTCTCTGTGTCTTGCATGGGTATGATTTGAGTTGGTTTTAGAATCTGTTGTGATGAAAGAAGTTTTGGATTTATCTGGAGGTTGGGTTTAAAATGGTGTTTTGCTGATTATGTGTTTCACCACCACAGAGTTTTCATGTCATTCTTATAAAAATTGGGCACAGCTTTAATATTGACAATGCAATCTTTGTTTATAACATTTTAAAAAAGTTTATTAGCATTTTTTTGTAGATAAAAAGTTCTGATGCTTTGAATCTCACACATATTTACTGATAATAGGCACTTTAGAAGAGAGGCTCCAAATTTATGAAGAAATTAGTAAGCAGCACCCCAGAGCAATTTCACCTAGAAGATTACCTTTGAATCTTGCCCCAGGTAATATTAGGATATCTTTTGTAACACTAATAATTATTTGTTATTCAACATCATTCACATTCAAAAAACTTGTTTCTTGTACAGAGTTTATATCGTCACCAATCTTGGGGGTGGGAGTGATCAGTTATGAATTTATTATGCATGTGTTAATAAGAATGTTGAGCATATGGCTATATGTTTGTCTCAAGTATTTGAAATTACCTTTTTAGAGATTGTTTTTCTCATGTGACTTTAAAAATTAAACACTAGATTTAGAAGATCAATTAAATTCCCTAGAAACGACAAATCCTATGTGAGGTACTATGATTTAAGTGGTAGAAGTTTTGAAGTTTTAGGTCTTTTTTTTTTTTTTTTTTTTTTTTTTTTTTTTTTTTAATGGTTTTTATTTATTTTTGACAGAGAGAGAGAGAGAGGGAAAGGATAGTGGGGGAGGGTCAGAGAGAGAGGGAGACACAGAATCTGCAGCAGGCTCCAGGCTCTGAGCTGTCCACACAGAGCCCAACGCGGGGCTCAGACTCACAAACCGAGAAATCATGATCTGAGCCGAAGTCAGATGCTTAACCAACTGAACCACCCAGGTGCCCCTGGGTCTTCTTTTTAGAGCACAAATTCAGAGAAAGAGTGGGGAGCCCTTTGTGTCCACCACAGTGTTTAAGAACGTTACTATTCCCTGTGAAGGCAGTCTGTCTTCAGAGTTGTCTGCTTCCCTGAAATTCGCCTTTATCATGCGCTTGTTTTTACAGAGCTCCATGTATTTTGTAGCCCTAGAAAAACAGCCCCCCCACCCTGTCCCTCCCTGCTTTTGTACGTAATGTAAATTGGCGCACTATGGTTTGTATTCTGTGACTTGCTTTTATCGAACAGCAGTATATGCACGACCGTGATCCAAGTTGTGCAAGTGGTTGAACTCCTTCACTTTGGGGTCTAGAGGAAGTAAAAGTATATTAGTTCTTCAGATAGTTAACATCTGAAGACTTGTGCCTTCTTCTTAAAGTTGTCAGTTGTCTCTGTTTTTAGCTGGGAGTGCTGTAGATTATGAATTATTTGTTGGGACTTCTGGCATGTCTTTTGATATTAAGTCAGACCCTAGAAAACTAATAGAACTTAAAAAAAATCTATTCTAGGCATGGGGTGAGGAGGGGGTATATTTTCTAATGAATTTTCACTTATAGTGCAGATAATTGGGTTATAATTTTCTTTATCTAAAGATTTATGGAAATTAAAAAGGTTTTAGTTACTGACTTTAAAAATGTATGAAGTACCTGTTAGAAATGTATCAGATAGTCGGTACGAGTTTATTGTAAACAGTTCATTTTCCACTAGTATATCTTAGTTCCACAGATGATAAATGGTATTCTTCTGATGCTCTCATTTTTGTTTTGGCTTTATGAATACCAAAAGCAGATTTCCCTGATGTTTTTCAGGGAACATTATGCTCACGTGGCTAGTATCAGGACTCAGGAGGGTACTGGTGTGCTGAGATGTTCGTCAGTCGAGTGAGTTGGGGAAACTTTGAATTGAACACAGCAGTCAGGTTTCTGTGGGACCTGTTAGAACGTTCATACCTGCATTGTGAATTTCTGAGATAGGATGTCCTATGCAAGGGGGAGCATTCCCATGTGTGTTTCATTGAGGATGTTTGGCTTCACATTTTTATATGTCTTTTTCTAAATAACAGCATTTGAAATAGAATTCACGTGCCATATAATTCACTTTTTAAAGTATGCAACTCCATGTTTTAGTGTATTCATGGAATTGTGCAACTGTTGTCACGATCTGGTTTCAGAAAGTTTTTGTCGCTCCCAAAAGAAACCTCACTCCCTGCACTCCCTGCGTCAGGCCGCACTCCCCCTGCACTTCCAGCACCAGGCGGCCGCTAATCTACTTCCTGTACCTGTGGAGTTGTCTGTTCTGGACGTTTCATACAAATGGAATCATACCACATGTGGCCTTTGTGTCTGGCTTCTTTTTTTTAAAATTGGTCTTCATATATAATGTATGTCTTGTGTCACGTTGTGGGTGGGGATATTCTCTTAGTTTGGAGTTTTCAGATGCATCTATGTGCCTCTTAAGAAAGAAGGAAAACTTGGGGCGCCTGGGTGGCGCAGTCGGTTAAGCGTCCGACTTCAGCCAGGTCACGATCTCGCGGTCCGTGAGTTCGAGCCCCGCGTCGGGCTCTGGGCTGATGGCTCAGAGCCTGGAGCCTGTTTCTGATTCTGTGTCTCCCTCTCTCTCTGCCCCTCCCCCGTTCATGCTCTGTCTCTCTCTGTCCCAAAAAAATAAATAAACGTTAAAAAAAAAAAAAAAAGAAAGAAGGAAAACTCATGTAACTTTATGGTTATTATTTTAATGTTTATTTATTTATTTTGAGAGGGAAAGAGAGAGAATCCTAAGCAGGCTGTGCACTGTCAGCACAGAGTCCCCATAGCGGGGCTTGAACTCACGAACCTTGAGATCATGACCTAAGCCAAAATCAAGAGTTGAACACATAACCGACCGAACCACCCAGGCACCCTTAACTTTAAGATTATTAACAAAATATCTTAGTTCTGTTATTCCTTAATGGAACATGGAACTTCAAATTTACACTGCCTTGAGTTTTTCTCATAGTTAATAAAGTTTGCTAAAAACTCTTAGTACATGACAGGAAATATATTTTTACTGAAAGATAGCTTGGAACCAACTGTTGATTATAAAGTGCAGTTTAGCTTTAAGTGGAATTATCTTGGACTCTCTGGGCACTCTGTCTTTGAAAGGCTAAAGGCATCTTTATACAAGATAGGGCTCAGTTGAAGGGTCTGATGGCACGGACTTCAAGGTCAACATCACTGTGAGGTTCTAACATCCATGGACTTACAAAGCTCCAGTGAGCATATGTAAAATCACACAGATACCTAATTGTACCTCTGTAGAAGCTAAATACTTCATGTTGTTTTGCCTGTCTAGAAATATTTTTATGTGTAATAAGAAAAGCATCTTGATATTGTCAAAAACAATAAGATTTTTATTCAAGAAACATGGAACTTGAGAATGCAAGGTGAAAGTTTTAAAAAAGAGTTTTCAGTTTTTAGTTAAAAAGGCTTAAAACTGTCAAGTAGTAAACACAGAACTCCTAGGTAGATTCTCCAACCGTCGAAAATATTAAGCGCTATGAAAATAATGCAGGGATATAACTACTTTTCAAAAGAACTGGTTTACTTCATCATGTTCTATTAGTCTTCACTGGCCAAGGCAGGGGAGAGAGGGAAGGAGATAATCCAGAGTATTAAACACAAAGTTCTGATCAAATTTTACTCCATTCTTTTTCATTGGATTATTTACTATTGAGATATAATTACATATAACATTATAGAAGTTTAAGGTGTATAACTCTTGATTTGATACATTTATACATTGTATTATTACTATAGTGGTACCATAGTATGCTAGCTAACACCTTCATCAGGTCATATAATTATTTCTTTTTTATATTGAGAACATTCTCCATGATTTAGAATAAATTCCCAGTGAATTACACACAGTCTGATCTTGCTGATTGTATTATTTTAGCACTGGTTTTTGAGACAGCAATTTTTATTGAATCTATACTACACATCTGGAGAAGAATTAGCATAGCATCTGTGTAGACAGATAACCTGTTTGGTAAGTGGTAATGCTAAGCAGGCACTTAATGATTGACAGTCTTTTTTTTTTTTTTTTTTTTACCCCTAAAGGAAACACTGTGGGGGGTACTAAAGATTATTTAAAAATAATTAGGAAGAAGAGAGATTATTTGCTTTTGTGAAGGGGTTTTTCTTATGCCTAAAGAAAACCTTATGAGCTGAGTCATGGTAAGTAATTTTAGGATATAGTGTGTGACTGAGCATTTGAATAGCTGTCTGTAGGCTTCTTATTTAGATAATGCATTATAGTTCCAGGTAAAATGATTTTTTAAGTGGAAAGTTTTTCCTGTCCTTCCTCTGACCACCTCCTTCTCTAGTGGCTGCATTGTTACCAGTAGGTGGTGTATACTTCCATAAACATATTGTGCATATACAAGCACAAATGTGTGTGAGGGTTTGTGTATAGCTTTCTTTATTTCTCCCTCTTTGTACAAAAATGGTAGCATAGATTGCTGTGCACTTGGGTTTTCTTTCCACTTAACTCTGTGTCTGTGCTTTATATCAGCACATGAAGAACTTCCCCATTCTTTCTCACAGCCGCACAGTCTAACAGTTTAACGGGAGAAGGGGCTTTCAAAATTATGGATAATTGAGAATGGACTACATTGTCTTTTAACTTCAATCTGCCAGGATGATCTGAATTGACTGAGAAAGTTGAGGAAGAAGAGGAGTTCAGAATAGCCTCTGACATGAAGATACAATGCTTGGTTTCTCAGTGGATGTCTGCAAATATGGAAAAGATTCTTAACTATAGAAATGCAGTAGCTGTCAGGTTATCATGGCATGTAATGATAGACAACATTTATTGAATAGTTACTGTATGCCAGACACTCTTTACTGCTATATACTTATATTCTGGTTTGAGCCATGAAGGAGGGCTCTTGAGGCTGCTAGCATTGTTACCCTCACCTACAGTGGGGAAAGTGAGGATTTTAGTGGACAGGTTGGTTACTTGTCCAAGGTCACACAGAAGTGGAAGAATATACATTTCTCTAAACAGCTGCATCCCACTGGTCCACCACAATATTGTTAACTTAAAAAAAAAAAAAAAAGTATTTATTTTGAAAGAGAGAGCAAGCACAGGAAGGGCAGAGAGAGAGAGAGAGAGAGAGAGAGAGAGAGAGAGAGAGAGAATCCCTAGTAGGCTCTGAGCTGTCAGTGCTGAGCCCAGGGCAGGACTCAAAACTTACGAACCTTGAGATCATCATGACCTGAGCTAAAATCAAGAGTCGGATGCTTAACCAACTGGGCCACCCAGGCGCCCCAGTATTGTTAACTTTTGCCTTATATCAGAGGAAGTGCTGGAAAGATTTGATCTCTAAAACTACTTTTGATTTTTAAAGAAGTAATGATGTCTGTTTAACCCAGAATATACTTTGTGTATGATCTAATAAAAGATTAGAGATTATCTGGAAATGGCTTTTATAGTACATTAACGAATGTTGAACCTGTTTTTATATTTGGTAAACTTTCCCCTCAATAAAATTTAAATATCTCTTTTAAATTTTTATGACATCTAATTATATTGAGTATGCATGTTTTGTTCAATACAATCACAACAAATAAAAATAACCCCTTTGGGTTGTTGGTATTTTTTTGTGAAGTGTTGTGATTCATAATGAAACTTTAAGGGATTGTTTAATAGTTTTACTTTAGGTTAAGCCATTTATGACATATGTATCTTTTTCTTTAAAAAAATTTTTTTTTAATGTTTATTTTTGAGAGAGAGAGAGAGAGAGAGAGAGTGAGCGAGCTGGGGAAGGGGTAGAGAGAGGGAGACATAGAAGCTGAAGCAAGCTTCAGGCTCTGAGCTGTCAGCAAAGAGCCCAATGTGGGGCTCGAACTCACAAGCCGCAAGATCATGAACTGAGCCAAAGTCGGACGTTTAACCCGACTGAGCCACCCAGGCGCCCTGTAATCTTTTTCTTTTTAATGAGTGGGCAAATCCGTGTCGTTATATAAGAACTCTTCCTGTCAAAAAAGTTAAAGCCTTAACTGAGTTAAAGCCTTTGTGTTGTATTTAAAATGAAAAAGTTTCCATTTTTTCCCCTGCTTCCAGAAAGTGATGCCAAGTTTTTTTTTGGAAGGGTTTAATAATGATAGAATTATTTACTTCTAATGTTAAAACGCTCTGGGGCTCAGTCTAATGTCTAACATATGTTTATTTTATGTATTATCCATCCTACCCACTGGAATGTTAAGTTCCAAGAGGGCAGAATTTAATTCATTTATTTATTTTGAGAGAGAGAAAGAGAACATGAGCGGGGGAGGGGGAGAGAGAGGGAGAGAGAGAATCCCAAGCAGGCTCTGCACTGACAGCGTGACTTGATCTCACGAAGTGTGAGATTGTGACCTGAACGGAGATCAAGAGTTGGACACTTAACCGACTGAGCCACTCAGGCGCCCCAGAATTTGTTTTTAATTGTTTTAGTCACCGCTATGTCCCTAATGCCTAGAACACTGCCTGGCACATATGGGTGCTTGAAAGATGATTGTGGAATGAATGTTGAGGCAAATCACTAATTGGTTTGGAAAACATTTTCAAATACTACTTTAGTGTTTAAAAATATATTTTGGCTGTCAGTTAACTATGCTGCTGGTTACAGTAGGATCTCTTTATAGTCTTTAGCGTGCCTTATGAGGTGTCTGCAGATGAGGACAAGTCTGTGCTAGTCAGTGAGGTTAGGAAAGAGACTTGCTATGGGGACTGTATTCAGAATGGATAGTGAGTAACTTTTTCTACTACTTAAAGATGCACAGTTATTTGGTGTACTTATCTTTTGAAGTGTTCCTTGAAGATATTTTAACCTATATCTAGGGAAAAGGATAGTTGCCAACTAAGATATTTACTGTTATCCTTTTGGGTGGTAACAGTCAAGCAATAAATGCTGACAGACTTTTGGGTTTAAAAATAGGATGGGGAATCATTGTTTTTGAGGGAGGTTTATTTTTATTTGTAAAATCACTTTGAGAACTGTTTGCATCAATTGAAATATAACAAAGTACACTTTTGTTTCTAGGTGAAAAATTTAGAGAACTAATGGATAAGTTCCTGAGGATTAACTTCAGTAAAGGCTGCCCACCCTTGTTCACTACTTTGAAATCTTTATATTACAATACAGAAAAGGTAAAATTTGGTCTTTACTCAGTTTTGCTATAATCTTTTTACTAACTTATTATAGAAACATTTCCATGTGAATAATATGCTATGATTTAATAATTTTTTCTATTCTGTTAATACAGAAACTATTCACCTTAGTTTAATAATAGTTGAGCTGAAATTATATGTGTGTAGTATGCTTTATTTGACTGCAATGGCACTGCTGTTGAGTTTTTGGTAAATAGTGGTTGATTCATGTGAAAACATGGAGCAGTGCCTACCAATAATTTCTGTAGGTTATTTACGGTAGCATTTGCCAAAATTCATCACTTACTCTTTAGGATAAGGGTGACAGAGAAGAAAGGGGAGGTGAGATGTCAGAAATGGTAAAGAGCTTACATGTGTGAATTTGAATACAGATTTTCCCTGCTGTCTGAAAGTAGAGTGTTCCTGTGAAACCTCTCAAGCTGAAATGGTGTAAAGTGAAGCACAATTAGCATTAGTTTGTATTCAAAAATTTTGAACATTCCCCGACCCCAAAAATAACCTCTCTGGCTTTTCTGATATCTTAGGATGCATCTTGCTAATGGATGCACAAAATAAATCGAGATAAAGCACAGATGCTCACAGACACAGTTCAAATCTATGGTGGCCTGATGCTGAGTGTCCTTCCTGGAGGAAGGAACCTGATGGTGTCCCTCTCCTTGCCGAGAGTGTGCGATGCCTCTGTGAGGGCTCCCTGCAAAACCAATGCTGAGCGCTGTTTTCACTTTTTGCCTTTTTCCGTGAAAGCGAAGGCACCACTGTAGGTCTTTGGTAAAAGTGAAAGTGGTGTAATACAAACTTTCACAAAACCAGAGGGCTACCTGTAATGCTTTTGTAATAACATCTTGCAGAAGCTGCTGAATATAGTGGCCATTAAAGAATTTGTTCCTCTTGGACTATCACTAAGCTTTCATTGGCTTTGTCCATTTTCACACGGGGCACAGACTTTTCGTTTTTTAAAATCCCTCCAATATAGATCCAAAATTATCATCATAAGGATGTAAAGCATTTGTTGGTATTTTATAAAGCACGGGAATTGCATTTTTAAAGAAGGCACTGAGAATGTATTAATTTATATAGGAACCTTTGACATCTCTTTAGTGTTATTTTCTAAGCATGGAATAGGCGTGTTTACCAAGTGCTTTTTTTTCCTTTATAAAAAATTTTTTTAATGTTAATTTATTTTTTGAGAGAGAGAGAGAGACCAGGTGCTTTTGAGAATTGAATCAAACCTCAGAAAACTGAGGTTGTCAGTACTTAGTATGGTAAAAAATGTACAAGTCTGGGACGTGCTTTTCAAATAATTTTGGCCACATAAATTTGTGACGTCTCATAAGGGTGTTCGAAAATTCATTTCTAACTGGTAGTCTTGCTTTTAGCTAAAGATTGCATTTTAACTCTGGAGGAAGTATTAAAAAGCGGTGAAGGCTGATAAAGTTATGGCTTCATAAACTTCCAGATCTTAAAGAATGATCCATGTTAGGTAGCATGAAAATAAAATCATCTTTTGGGGGCGCCTGGGTGGCGCAGTCGGTTAAGCGTCCAACTTCAGCCAGGTCACGATCTCGCGGTCCTTGAGTTCGAGCCCCGCGTCAGGCTCTGGGCTGATGGCTCGGAGCCTGGAGCCTGTTTCCGATTCTGTGTCTCCCTCTCTCTCTGCCCCTCCCCCGTTCATGCTCTGTCTCTCTCTGTCCCAAAAATAAATAAAAAACGTTGAAAAAAAAAATTTAAAAAAAAAAAATCATCTTTTGAAGTCAGCCCAGGATATAGCACAACTATAGAAAGTTATTTTAAAAACATCTGCAGCATTTTAAAACGTGAATATATAATTTAGGGACACAAAGAGCATTTTTTTGTGTAATTCCTGTCAAGGTTTTTTTCCCCTATGAATTTATTTGTGGTATTTGTAGGCAGCTGTAATAATTTTGACCTGAAAGTTTGTCTAGCAAGTGCACAAGCATTTTATATGTTGCTGTATGGTTTTCATTATCTTCCTTTTTGATGACTACATATCAGAGCCATTCCTCTATTGTTGAACTTTGGGTTTCCAAACTTTCACTGTTAAAATCAAACAAACACTATAAATATCTTTGTACCCATAGCTTTACTCAGGATTATTTCCTTCTCACAAATTCTCAAATTAATTGGTAAAAGGTATGTGCATTCTGTGGTTCTCAGTTAATAGTGGTACTTTGGTTTCTATGAGGTTGTAAACACCAATTTGTATTGTCACTAGCGGTGTATGTGTGTGCAAGGTTCCCTGTACCCTCACCAGCATTAGGTATTCTAATAGTTTCCCTTTTTGTATTTTCTTTTCCATGGATAAGATGTATTTTTTTAACATAGAAACAGTTTGGAAGGTCCTCTTCTTCTAGAGCAGTGTTTCTCAAGGTGCAATGAGGGAGGGAATTTTGTCCCCCCCAAGGGACATTTTGCAATGTCTGGGAGTATTTTTGTCACTGTTGGGAAGTATGCTATGGAGATCTAATGGGTAGCAGCCAGGGATCAACAGGACAGCTCCCCACAATGAAGTATTCTGTTATTGACCTGTTGGGCTAGATAATTTGTTATAAGGGGCTGTCCTTTGCATTATAGGATATTTAGCAGTGTCCGGGGCCTCTGCCAACTAGATACCGGTTGCTTCCCCCCCAGTATTTTTGTTATTGTTAACAGCTTTATTGAGATATAAATCACATATCATAAAATTTACCTACTTGAAGTGTACAATTCAGTGATTTTTAATATATTCAGAGTTTTGCAACCATTACCATTGTAATTTTAGAAAATTTTCATCACCCCAAAAAGAAATCCTTTCCCCACCCCCGCAACATTAGGCAACCACTAGTCTACTTTCTTTCCATTTGCACACAAATGGAATCATACAGTTTGTGACCTTTTGTTCTGTAGTGTGTTTTACTTAGCATAATGTTTTCATCCATGCGGTAGCGTGGATGACTACTTCATTCCCTGTATCACCAAATAACATCCCATTGTATGGCTGTGCCACATTTTAGCAGTTGAGGGACACTTTGGTTGTTTCTGCCTTTTAGTTATTATGACTAATGCTGCTGTGAACACTTGTGTGCCACTTTTCCATATACATTTTAATTTCTCTTGGGCGTGTATACCCAGGAATGGAATTGCTGCTTCAAATGGCAAGTCTGTGTTTAAACTTTAAAAAGACTGCCAGATTGTTTTCCAAAGTGACTGTACCTTTTTATATTCTCACAAGCAGTATATGAGGATTCTGATTCCTATATATCCTCACCAATAATCCACTTGCTATTATTTGGCATTTGATTATAGCCAGCCTAGTGGGTGTGAAGTGCTGTCTCATGGTTTCAGTTTGCAATTCCCCGATGACTGATGATGTTGAGTGTCTCTTCATGTGCTTATTTGCCATTTGTAAATCTTCTTTGGAGAAAGTCCATTCAGACTCTTTGAGTTGTCTTTTTATTCTTGAGTTGGAAGAGTTCTTTGTATATTCTAGATACATGTCCCTTATCAGATATGTGATTTGGAAATACTTTCTACCATTCTGTGGGTTATCTTTTCACTTTCTTTAAAGTGTCCTTTGATGACAAAAGTTTTTAAAGTCCATTTTATGGTTTTTTCCTTTTACTGCTTGAGCTTTTGTGTCATATCTAAGAAACCATTTCAAATCTAGCATAATGAAGATTTATACATATTTAATAAGAGTTTTATATTTTTAGTTCTTATACTGAGGTCTTTGATACGTTTTGAGTTCATTTTTATATATGATGTGAGGCAGGAATCCAGCTTTTGCATGTGACTATCCAGTTTCCCAGAACCATTTGTTGAAGAGACTGTTCTCTACCCAGTGAAAGGTCTTGCCAGTTTTGTTGAAAATAAATGGACCATAAAGAAGGTTCATCTTTGGACTCACTGATCTATATATTTGTCCTTATGCTGTCTTGATTACTGTAGCTTTGGGGTAAGTTGAAATTAGGAAGTGTGAATCTTTTAGCTTGTTCTTTTTTCAAGATTCTTTTGACCATTCAGGATTCCTTTTTTTTCAATTTGAATTTTAGAATTAGCCTTTCAGTTTCTGCAAGAAGCCAGCTGGAATTTTACAGGCATTGCTTTGTATCTGTAGATCACTTTATTTTAACAATACTAAGTTTTTCAGTCTATGAACTTTGGATGTCTTTGCATCTAGACATATCTTCTTTAATTTCTTTCAACAATATTTTGTAGGTTTTAGCATACATCTTGTACATCTTTTGTGAAATTGACTCCTAAGTACTTTATTTCTTTTAAATACTATTCTAGTGGAATTATTTTCTTAATTTTATTTTCATTTTGTTATTGCTAGTGTATAAAATACAGTTGGTTTTTGTATATTGATTCTGTGGCCTTGCTGAACTTATTTATTTATTATTTATTGTTGATAGTTGGTGTAATGGATTTCTTAGGATTTTCCAGATTTTTCTAAATTTGCAGATTTTCTAACATTGGTATTGTTATTAATTTGCAAATTATTTGCACATTTTCTGATTTGCAGATCATGTCATCTGCAAATAGAAAGTTTTATTTCTTCATTTCCTTTTTGTATCCTTTTAATTTCATTTTCTTCACTAATTGCCCTGACTAGAATCTCCAGTACAATGTTGAAGAAAAGTGATTAGAGTGGATATCTTTGTCTTGTTCCTGATGTTAGGAGAAAGCATCTAGTCTTTGTCCATTAAGTATTGGGTTAACCATGAATTTTTTATATATGCCCTTTGTGATGTTGAAGAAGTTCCCTTCCATTCCTAGGACACTGAGCATTTTTAAGGTGAACATGTGTTGGATTTTGTCAAATGTTTCTTCTGTGTCTATTGAGATAATTATGTGGGTTTTTTTTTAAATACTCTTGCTATGATGTATTACATGAATTAATTTTCAGATGTTAAAGCAACCTTGCATTGCTGGGATAAAACCCACTTGGTCATGGTGTAGAATTCTTTTTATATATTGCT